TTTCATTTTGGGTGGTCCAACTGCCGGTGTTGAAAGTCTGCGTAGGTGGATTTTTCAATGAAAATATAAGCCCCTCTAAAAATATTTGATATTAACCCCAAATAAGCGCCCACCAGCCGTGAAACCGCCCAGGGCGATTTTTCGGATGGGCGAATTTACGGCAGAATCCGGTATAACCAATTGAATCTAATCCAATTGCATAGCTTTAAAAATATCAGTACTCTTTTCAACATAATTACTTTTAAGCAGGTGAAATAATTTCTTTTCAAATATTTCATTTCCTGTTTATTATAGATCTTTCGCAATAAAGCATGTCTAATTTACATAACACTAGAATATGTATTCACTCTATTATATTCATTGTGATGATAATTAAGTTCTATTGTTTATCCAAAATAGAGGAGGGAGGCACTGTGCTGTAATGTCTTAGGGAAAGCCCTAAATAGGTATAGGCCTACACTGCAAGGTAGATTTTCACAGACGAAGCTACATCACGATCCCCCAAACAATGCCAGGGCCAATCACAAACAGGGAAAGACAACGCTAACGAAAAAATCTTTTGTTTTCTACTGACTTTCTGTTCCCGTCCGTCTGTGAGAATTATAAAATGCTAACCTAACAGGATCATAAGCACAACTAGAAACACAAGTGAATAATCATGTAATTTTTACCAACAAACACTGCAAAATGAACTGCAGAATGATTTCTAGAGGAAGTTATCATACATTCTGTTCATATCATTAGTGCTGATGGAAATAAGAAACACTGCCTCATAACAAGATATGCATGCTTCATCACTATGTATTGGAAAATGCATTATACATGGAAATTTAATCGATAATACTGAGTGAACGATGAGCTGATGGCAAAACATGGCAATATAATATCACATGAATGGCAGAAACATAATCATCATACTGTCAGTGCCCAGTATTTTCTATTCCTAACTAAAATTTAAACTAAAAGTTTTCTTATTAAATATCAAGGAGCCAGATGTGCAGTCCTTTTCTTTTAAAGACATTATTAGAACTTCTCATGTGCATAGGACTAGTGTTACAAGAATGAATGCTGTTTACATACTGATAGCAACCAGTTTTTAGAGATCTGATAAAATCCAGTCGCACGTTTACAGCCATTTACATGCAAGCTATAAATTCAAACCATTGCCCAAATTATGTGCCATGCTTGGTCATAATTAAAGGTTTTTTGTGATGATAATAGTTAGAACTGTGATAAATGTATATTTAGTGCATTTCAACTCAGGTTTGAGCTTGTGATATGTAGTGCTGGCGATGCAGATAAAGACCAACCAGAGTACAGAGGAAAAATATTAGAACATGCAGTTCTGACGACAGCGTCACTTAATTTGACCAACACTATAACAGCATTCTCTACTCATTAACAATTAATTAAGTGAAGTAAAAAGTGTAAAGGGTAAACTGTTTTGAACTAATAAGGATTTTTTCATATGTGTGGCAGAGGGGCATTGGAGGAGGGGAGCGGGAGGGTCTGTAAACAAAATCAGCAACACCATATACAATTTATTTCAGTTCATTTTTCTCATCGTTTTCAAATTTAACAGACACTGCATGCTAGATGGATGGTTTCGTGGATTTACATAGAAGTAAGATGAAGGAAACATGTCAATACACACATGACTGACATTGTACATAGAGATAAATGTAGGTAACTCATCAACGTGTTAACAAACTCACCTTGCATACTTATCAAGTCTTGCTGATAGGCTGTCTTTATATTTCTCCAACCACGCTATTCTCTCCGTTAACGTTTTCACTGATGTATTTAGTTCCTCATTCTGATTCTGTAAAGCTATAATCTGCAAATGAAAATAATTTCATTGTTGATTTTCATTAACACTTAACCTGCCAGGCCCATGTATTTTTACAATGATTTCACCAGATCATTGGCACCTACACTGGTACTACAAAAATGCCATGTATTCAGGGCTATAGGACTATTTTTTCGTAATAGTGGCATTATACATGTGGCAAGTTAATGGACTAACTCCCAGTGTCAACCAGGTCTAATAAAACAACATAGTTGAACTCTGGTGACCTTGTCCTTTGTTGTATTGTGCACACAATAACAATTATTAACGATAACAACAACGATGACGACAACAACGACAACGCCGGACATTTTTCTCTTAATATACCTTTCCCTCCCATCTTTGATGGTACGGGCAAGATATTGACATCCACAAGTGAATAAATACCAAGTAGTGGATTATTTGGCCTCCCCATCAATCGACACCTGTTTGGCATTTAACAAGTAGAATTAGGCTACTAAATTAATCATGAAATTGCCACAACAATCACTTCTTCTAGGTTTATATGTACCAGTACTGTCTTGCTAACTACCGATTGTGTTAGAAAGGCTTCATGTTGACAATCTCATGTCTTGATTTTCAGAATTATTATTCAGTCAAAAAACTGTTAACATTGAAACAAGCATCACGAAACAGAAGCAAGACATTTACGTAAAACAGAACACTGTCACATCAACATTATTAGTATAACCTATGGCTTCGGATTGATACAAAACATTGACTATAATCGCCTGTTTCTGCTGATTTCAAAAAAAAAATATTGTGGAATTACCAATATATAAAAACTTTTTAACATTTTTCCTACATCAATTTTTTATTTATTCACTCATCACATCAGGCAGGAATGCAAATGTAATGTGTGTGTTTTTTTATGACGGCCTGACAGGCGAGAAAGAGGCCAATTATTATGCATAGATATGTTATTCTTGGCAGTGAGCTGGGTTATTTGACTTGAACTGCAGAAAGAGTCTACACAATGATTATTATCATTTCGCATCCGATAGGACACCAAATTCCCAAACCTAATTTATACTGTTGAATCAGCAGTCAACTGGGAGGGATCAAATCTATATAACCTTTAATACTGATGCAAGGTGAACATGTTAACCGCTGGAATACATCCAGGTATAATATAAACACATCTTGTGAATTATTTATTCTACATTGTACCTGAAACATCCACACCTGCATGTATGTGTGAAATTAATTTTGAGACACTTCAAAAAAGAATTTTAATATTCAACTACCAACACAAATAGAAACGCTTTTATTGAAGTTTAAATTTTGAATGATATTTCTAATTTAATTCATTAAACCTCATCATACCAATAAATTCAAAGGAATAAAACGCACTGTCTGAAAGTTCTAATTATACCGGTATTTTACGATTAGTAAAATGAAGCAGCAGTTAAATTTCCGGTGATCATGACATGAAACACAAAAAAGTCACACGCAATGGCGAGATGAGTCATCAAGACTGACAGATAAGCTCATCTATATTCATGTGATGACCTACTTCTTTTAATATTCTCAGCTTTCTGTTTAGTTTAGCTTCCACATGTTCAAACAATGCTGTCTAAGTAATTATACAGTGTCTATAATTTTCAAAATACTAGCATGGTTGATAATGACCAGGTGAAGAATAGATTTTTTTCAGAAATACTGTACGAACTTTTATTTTCACTGAAAGGATTCATCAGGAATCCGTGAAAATAAAATTCATACAAAACAGTCAAAATATCTTCAATGAAAATCCAGCTAAAATAAATACTGTATGCACTTCTATTTTCACTGAAGGGAATCATTAAAAATGAGTGAAAATAAAATTCATACAAAACAGTCAAAATATCTTCAGTGAAAATCAAGCTAAAATTACTGTATGAACTTCCATTTTCACTGAAGGGACTCATCAAAAATCAGTGAAAGTAAAATTCATACAAAACAGTCAAAATATCTTCAATGAAAATCAAGCTAAAATTACTGTATGAACTTCCATTTTCATTGAAGGGACTAATCAAAAATCAGTGAAAGTAAAATTCATACAAAACAGTCAAAATGTCTTTGTAAATTGTAAATCCAGCTAAAATAAAGTATTTTACAGTAATAAGTAACATTTCCATACATGTAGTTCAGTATGCAAGAAATGCAATGGTTTGATCATGTGTATTTCTATTATTAGATATGCGCTTCTTAATAGAGCTAAGACAGTAGACACATTTTGAAACACAAGGTAGTATTAGTTTATAGGTTAAGGCATAACCTGGTGATGCAATGATATACCAGTCATGTTGCTTATGTGTGGAGGTTTTCAATCAGGCGATGTGTTAAGGAGGGTTTCAAACCATCAAGTAGAAAAGTCAACAAAATTCATTCCCTTGAAGTATTGTAACTACCTTGTTGAAAACTTGTCTACTGGTTATTGATACATGTATTTGGTTTTTAAAAAAAAAGTTTTTCTATTGTAACAATGAATTCGCTTATTAAGTGTGTTAGACCAATTACATGTGTCAAACTTAAGTTTTGAACTTCATGCATATTTTTGTTAGGTTAACACTAAATTAGTTTCTTGAAAGTGGATGTAGCTAATATAATTTTGACACAACTATAACTTGACATTTTTGCTATTTTTATTTCCTGGCTATTCAAAAGTTCAAAGCAAAAAAAAACTTTGGAGTAGTCAAACTTGTTTTTGAATTATGAACCTCAATGGCATGTATTTTGACCAAATTTCAATTGAAAATGACCACCAACTTACAGCTTAATGCGTTACCAGAATGTGTTTGGAAATTCCAAGAGAAGTGAGGTGGTACAATACAGCATCCTGATTGGTTAATAACAGACTTGACCTATCAGGTCAAAAGATGTTGCAGGTAACATTCTGGTGGTACCAAATTAATATTGTAATAAAATGTGTGTACTTTTGTGACCAATTCTGCTTCTTCATTGTAAAAGTGTTGTTGAAATCAATGACAATGCAACCAAATTTGGAATTTTATTTTCCCTAAAATCATGTAATATTCCCCTCAATCTGTCACATGGTGAACTAAAATTACCATTTGCGCACCTTTTTGCAAGGGATGCCTGGGTAAGCGCCCACCCCTCTAAAATACATGATTTTTGGAGCTGAGTGAGACTAGTATGGTACCCTCATTATTACTGGTATTTTTAAGGTTACAGACTTAAATCTGATCTGAGTGGTCCCCTGGGATGTTTAACACCACATAGAAGGTTAACCTTCTCACCACCAGTTCACTCTTTTCATCACAAATTCACAAAATAATTCTGTTTATAGTCTGTATTTTTTCAGTGAAAATTGACTTAAATTTTGTCTGTTGGCTCCAAAATTAGGGTTTATTTCCAGAATATTGAAGAATATAAGAAAAAAATGCAGAAAAATTTGGGAAAATTTTGAAAGTCTGGTGGTGGTGAAAGGGTAAACACCAATGACAGGATAGAGACATGCACAATGTTACACAATCTCCCTCATCAACATTACACAGTATTTAACCAGTAAACAAATCAAACTAGTTCTCAGGTTTGTACATTTCATAGTTTGTTATTGCTTACCTCCTCTGTATGATCCACTGGCGGTCTATAGTAACAGGAGGTAGAATGTTGATCAATGGATTCTAAATTTCCAACAAATTCACATCCTATAACAGAAAAAAAATGTACACGTCATTTTCTGAATTAAACATTCTACCGGTATATGAGAACAAAATAAACCAATTACACAACAAATGTAGATTGTTTGTATACTTTGCCATGACAAACTGAGTTACATTTGATTTCACCTTTACAGGTATCATTATATACATTTACTTGCTATTTTATGTCTAAGTTCTTTATGCTTTTTGCAATGAACTAAACTACAACTAAACCAATAGAGGCACACATAGATGTTAACATGTATTATACATCTGTCACTATAACACCATAAGTTAAAGCATGCCGTAATTTTGCTGTATTTTACAGGGTATTTTCATCCTACTATATTAGGAAATGCGAATTCCAAATATGGAATGAGTACCCATGTAAGCGTCCTTTAATAATATAAACAAACATGGCTGCCACCAGGGTTTGACCGGACTCCACACAAAGAAGTTCACTGATTCTGATCTAAACCTTTTTGATTTCAGCATTCCCATGATGTATCCTTGGAAGGAAAATATGTATAATAATAAGGTTATTACGAGGATACCTCAATGTATGCACTTAGACAGTACACCGTGCTATCGACCTCCGTTGCGCGTTGGTCGATACTCCTGCTGTACTGTCTTCGTGCATACTTTGAGCTATTCTCGTAATAACCTCATAATATTTTCAATGATTTTATGACAAAACAAAATTTCACAAAAGTCGCTGGCACTCCGTGGTGTACATGCAAGACCCTCAGAGAAATTTTCAGTGCTACAAAGTTTCAAGATTTTCACTGATTCACAAAATTTGTCTCACGAAATTAAAGTAGTTTACAGTATTTGTCTGTGATTTGGATTATGATGTAAATAATTCTCTAGTTGCTTGTGGGCGTTTTCTTCCAGTCATCAAAAATATGCAGAGATTTTACTCCACCAGCTGCAGTTCTGTACAGATGTTGATTTCTTTTATTTTAGGAATTTAGTTGAATGAATGAAAAAACCTATTCTTGTTTCATGCACACTGAAAAAACAAATTATGATGTGTTACCGGTATATCTTTGTATCAAAACATACTTTTCCAGACATATCTGAGGGTCAACAGAGATCAATTTTTAACTGCAAAACTACCGTAGTCACGAATGACTAATTATAAATCCCCCTATCTTTCTATTGCTGAACACTGTTGTACACTAAGTAATGTAGCAACCATAGAAATCAATACCTGTTTATTAGATTCATAATTAGGTGTTGGGGGAAACTAATTATGAAAAACGTTAAAACTTGCATAAGCATATGCGACAGTAGTAAAGTCAGCATGATATAAACACTACCATATTTGCTTTATTAAAAAGCATACTGTACGACTATTCTTTAAAAAGACAGCAATCATTAAATCCAATTAATGGATTAGGTGTACTTCTATTAGAGATACACTTGTAATAGAATAAATACAATATTTTATCCCATTTTATGTAATGACTTAATACAGGGATGAGTGGTGACCATGACATTTCTAGTAGCCTCAAAGGATGACTTCTGGTACTAGTAATATACTTATATTTTGCTAATTTCTGTACGTAGATTGATTGTTTATGCACTTGTAGTGGCACAGCCATACAACATTGATAGCTACGGAATCGCAGCATGTACAGTTTTATACAGACATTGCCCATCTATGGAACATACTTTCAATATGTGATTTTTTCATTCAATATAAGATCTTGTGTATTTCAAATGATTTAATTTTGAACTTCGTCGAATCCCATACAAAGATGTGTCGCCACTACAATGCTATGAACCTCTGTTTATACATGGTCTATTATATGTACATGTATATGTTGAATGAAATAGAATAATTAAAGCTAGGGGCATGTACATGTAAGACATGATTCAATTAATTGTAATTTATAAGTATCAAACTCACAAACAGGTGTAGAGCATTGCATACAAATCAAGATATCCAGAATCCGAAAAAGTCACAAATCAGGGTTACAAGTACGCCACAATTAATTAAAACAAGTTACTTGTTGTCTTAAATTGAA